ATGAAAGCATTTTTTTCCTCTGAATCTTCTCATTTGAAAGATAAACTGCCATCATTGCTAGTAAAAGCAAAAGCAAAACAAAACAAAACAAAATTCCCACCACTTTGGAAAAACACACCAAGATGTTTAAACGCTTGCTAAGACCATACTTATTTCTGTGCAAGCATGTGATGTTGTGTTCAGATGATATGGACTCACTGTATCAGGAAATAAGACTTACAGCTTTCCAGTTCAAGAGAACAATTTTGAGTGTCAAGAGGAAACCTGCTGAAATCCATTAAGCACATGGCCGAAACCGTTATCCTATAAAAGGAATGAGAAAAAGAGAACTGCAGATCATTTAACCATATGGTCAAATTAGCACGCAACATTGAAGCTTCCTTATTGTTCGCCTGTTTTGTGTGCCTTTCAAGAATAATGGAAAATGGGCGTTACTATCTTTTGTCCAAATAATGCACAAGGAAGCAAACCAGGAGGATGGATGATAATTGCTTAAGACACGAATTGATGAGTGTGTTCCCCTCTCACAACTGCTTCTGATTTCATCATCTCCTGGTCATTCCCCTCAGTGTTTTCTGGTGCTGATGTTTTCAGAAAAATACACTTCAAAGTGAGACATTTCTAAATAGATTTAAATATTTTCTGCTCTTTGAAAGACCAAAACTTAAGTAGTCTCTAGTCATAAAGGGTTGGGATAGTAGTAATAAAAAAAAGTACAGGTAAAGGTTTCCTTCACAAAGCAAATGTAGTTGAGGGCATTCTTTTTCCAGCAGTGAGGGGAAAAGCCCGGAGCATGTTTAGTCATAGATCTATATGCACAATGCATAATTCAGGTGCTATTAAGCAAAAAGGCTTGCGTGCTGATGAGGTTTATTTTTTTTTTCAATTTTTGTATCCTCCTAGATTTTCCTGGCTTCAGGCAGAGGCTGCTGTACTATGATCTTGCCTCAAAGTAGAAACTTTGCTACCCAGAATAGCAGATCAGAGGTTCATAAAGGCCTCCAAGCAAGTCTGCAAAAACAAAACAAAACAAAAACAAAAACAAAAAAACAAACAAAAAAAAAACCAAAAAACAAAGGCAACAGATGCTCCCACCCAGGGTGCTCCTGAGATAATCAGAGGAGTAGAATTATTTTATCTTCTGTGGCTGAATTCTACTGTCAAAGTCATACACCAAAACACCAAGCTAGGGAAGAGCCGGACAGCTTTATGTAAGTGAAATACATTCATTCTGGTGCATTCCCAGTGTTTTAAAGCTGGAAGGGACCTGTGAGGTCTTCCCGCCAATCTCCTACATAGTCCACATAAAGAAATTAATGAGCAAGGATTTAAGGTGGCTAGGCAATGTCAGAACCAAGCCTGGAACCAGGTAATCGGACTCTGAGCTTGGATTGGCTCTGTTCTTGGCTGGAAGAGCTGTGCCAACAACAATTTTGAATCTTCCTGAGTTTGGGGATATCCAAGACCACCCTCAAGGTCAACCACTCATTAGACTCACAGAACTCAGCAAAGTTCTTGTACTCATGGTTCCCTTTACTACGATCAAAGAATTAAAATAAACAACAGGAAATGAGCACAGGGCAGGGTCCAGGGGAAATCAGGAGCAAGTTTCCAGTTGTTCTCTTCTAGTGGAGTCATGTAGACAAGTCTTCATTCCCTCAGCAATGGTGTGTGACAAACCAGGAAAGGTCATCTGAACCTGTGTCTATTATGGTTTGGATACTGGGTGTTTCCCCAATTATGTTAATGCAGTAAAGTTCAGAGGTGAAAAGATTGAATTGTGAGAGCTGTAACCTAATCAATCCATCCTAGTTTGAACGGACTAACTGGGTGGTAACTGTAGGCAGCTGTGGAACTATAGAACGGAGGGGAAGGAATCATCTTTCCTGCAGCCCTTTCCCCCTGCTCTTTCTGCTTCCTGGCCACTGGGCCTGGAGCAGCCCTCCTCAGCAGGCCCTTCCTCTATATAATGTTCTGCCTCACCTTGGACCCAGAGCAATGGAGTCGGCTCACCATGGACTGAACTGAGCCAAATAGACTTTTCCTCCTCTAAGTCATTCTTGTCTGGTATTTTGGTCACAGTGACGCTAAATGACTAATACAGTGTCCATAGTTTTAATTGAGAGTTGGTCATAGAGCCATGGTTGATTACCTACATGGCTGACTTTAGTCTCCAGCCCTCCAGAGGATACACAGATACCATATATCCCTCAGAACCGCCACAAGTCACATTGTGAGTGTAGGATTATCTGACTTGACCCACAGACTACAGCTAAACAAAAAAAAAATACTTTTATCCGGTAGAATATTCCAAGGGATTAGAGATTACCTTGCAGGAGACAGTCAAGAGCCAAATCTTTTTTTTTAGAATATGAAAGGTAAGAAAAATCCAGTGAGTTAATCATTTACCAGTCATCCCCTCATCAAAACAAATTAAGACACTTGATTCTTTGACCAAATATTGTTGTTCTGCCTTCAATTCCTAGTGAAAACTGACTTTAATATTTTTGAGTCTTTTTTTTTTTTTGGTTCTAGGGATTGAACTCAGGGGTGCTTTACCACTGAGCCATATTCCCAGCCCTTTTTGTTTTATTTTGAGACAGGGTCTCAGTGCATTGCTTAGGGCTTCATTAAGTTGCTGAGGCTGGGTTTGAACTTGTGATCTTCCTGCCTCAGCCTCCCAAATGGCTAGGATCACAGGCATGTGATCATAGGCATGAACCGCTGTGCCCGGCTTTTTTAAGTCTTCTGTTACTCCTGATTTAAAAGTCCCATCGAAAATAGTACTTTTCATTAATTTCACTTAGAAAAACATTGACAACCTTTATAAAATGGCAAGCAACAGTTCCTTGGTACAAGATTTTTTTAATAGGAAAGAGAACCTATAATAGTTTTCTGTTGCTACTGTATGAAATTAAAACACACTTGGTGGTTTAAAACAATAGAAATTTATTCTGTCACACTTCTTGAGGCCAGAACTCTGAGGTCAGTACCACTAGGCCAAAATTAAGGTATCAGAAAATTCTTGTTCCCTTAGAAGTTCTGGGGGAGAAATCCATTCATCTAACAACTTCTGGGAGCCATCTGTATTCCCTGGCTGTGGTCATTTTGTTTGCGGTTTTCCTAAGTCTATCAACTTTTCTCCGCCTTTCTATTTTAAAGATACTTATGGTTACATTCAAGTGCCAACCAGACAATCCAGGATAATCTTCTTGTTTTAAGATCTTTAATTTAATCACATCTATAAGGTTTTTTTTTTTTTTTTTTTTTTTTTTTTTTTGTGTGTGTGTGTGTGTGTTTTGCCATAAAAGGTAACCTTCACAGGTTCCAGAAATAGAGATGGATATCTTTTAGGATGTCACTTTTCCAGGCTACTACAGAAACTTCTGAGACTTCTAGGACTTTTAAAAAAGTTGAATGGCACAGGTTTACTAAACATTTTTAGAATATGTCACTCAGTATGTAGAGGACTCATTTGGTTAAAAAACATATGGAACATTAAAGGTGGAGGGCTATGAATACATAATATTAGAACAAAAAAGAGGAAACTAAAGTAAATAAAAAAGAGGAAAAGGAAATAAACAAATTAATACTAACTTGGATAATGACTATGCCTTCTCGTGAAAAATGAAGAACACAGTCAATTATTAAGCTAGCTCGAGATTCAAACACCGTTTGGTGTAGAGAGGCGGGGTGAAGCTGGTGAAGAGAAATAGCAGATTTGCATACCTAGAAAATTGTAAACCAGATTTTTAAGTATTTCTAAAGGTCAGTTTCAGTCTATTTGTACAATCAACATATACCCATATACCCGGAATGGCTATAGTTAGAATAGGAAACTGATCTTTTAAAATCTGGGTGTTAGAACCAGAGAACATGGCACCTTCTCTTGTGCCTCATCACCATTAAAGCGACAGCAGTGTGGTCAGTGTAGTCAGAAGTGAGGCCCACCAGCTTCCGTGTAGATGCCTGTGGTCCAGGGAAGCAAAGGCAACTGAGAGCCCTCCTTACCTGACACTGAAGAGGACGTTTCCATCAGGGTCGATGCGCAGCATGAAGTTCTCCACAGTCGTATCATGGATGAAGGATCTTTTAGAATGGACGAAAAAGATGTCAGGCACCCAAATCTTTTTGATCAATCTGTGGTCAAAGGTCATGCTTTTATTTGTTTTGCTAGGAAAGGAGAGCCTCTCATCTTTCCAGTAATGCCTGAGGTAAAAAGTCATTGTAAAGTCCTAGGCAGAGAGAAAAGGAGACCAATCAAAACCAGTAGAAATGGGGCTCAGGATCAATACTCTTGGTTCCAGGAGTGATTGCCATGGGTGTTGATGACTTGTAGGCGACTGACATATATTGTATTTTCAGGTAGGTTTAGGATGAAGCTAATGAGCTTGTTTTGTGAGCTTCTCCTTCACATGGACTTCAGTGAATGCTGAGAGTTCCTGGAGTGATAGAGTATTCATGCTGGGAAGGGAAACCATGTTATCAATGGGAAGCAATTTTATGTGAACATTCTGACTAATCCCCTGAATAGACTGAAAATGAAAGGGACCTGAAACTTCAATATTTTGTCTATTATTTTATTGTGATTTCTTATTTTGTTTATTATTTTATTGCTTATTCTAAATATCCACTTTTCAAATTGTTTTAGTATTCCTAATTTTGTGTTATTTCTGATAAAGCACATCTCCCAAATTGAATAAACTATAGTCGTGCAAAAACCTGGGTACAGTCTCTATTAGAGCTAGTGGAAAGCAAGTTATCAGAGGTCCTGGGACAAAGACTGGCTGAATTCAGGGAAAAGCATGGCCTGGTTTCCAGGGCCAATGAGAGGGAACAGCCTCCATCTAAAGACATTTAAAATGAAATTTCTTAATACTTAAGGTCCAGGAGGATCAACATTAAAATGCAAACTATGTGCAAAGCATAGCTAGAAGCTGCATCTTACTACGTACTAGGGTACCTGGTGGAGACCTTGTCATACACTTGCACTTGCTAGAAACAAACAAACAAAAAAAATGCATCAATAGGGCATGGTGGAAAAGGCAGTGGAACTGAGGAGAAATAAATGAAATAGAAAGTATGATTCAGATATAAGGAAGTCCAGCAATTAGGTGAGAATAGAGAAATGGACGCTGAAGGTTTACAACTATAAATATTTCTTCATTTAGCATAGATAAGTAAACAAAAAGGGGCTAAACAAAACCCCGAGACTACATTAACACACAAACAGAAGAGGAAAAGGAGTGTAGGCCTGTGCATGGAAGTTAGCTGCCAAGTCACGAGGGTTCTTGGAGTAAAACCCTGAAAACTATATAAACAAAAATGGCTCTTGTCATTATGTAGATAAGGAAGATAATTCTTGTCATTATATAGATAAGGAAGGTAATTCTAAGTTGGGAATAGGGAAAATAAAATGGAAAAATTACAGTAGAGAATATTAAAACATTAAAAATGGCTAAAATGAGAAAACCAGGAGTAAGGGAGGCAAAGATTTAAAAAGTAAGCCTGCCAAGTGGTGTAGGAGACAGAGAGAGACTACAGGGAAGGTGATTGAGATTAGCAAGTGATCTGTGTCAAGTTTTAGAGACAGTGGTGGGTAGAGAGTACTCCATGAAAATAATATGGTTGTTTCATTGCAAAATAAAATTGTGATAATCTCTTCTGTATTTCTAGGAAATACAAGGAAATAGAAGCACTTTTCTTAATTTTTAGTTTCCTGAGTCAAAAAATCCTTTGTTGTTTACAGATAAGCAAAATTAATATCAGTTGAAACTTCTGGAAGCAGCTTATGAAGCTTGGTTCATTAGTCTTTCTATGGGTAAACTCACACCTTTGTGATGACATAGTGCACATACATCATGGTTATCCTTCTAATAAATTGCTCCAAGTTCATATTATATAACTAAATACATTATGATGTTCTGCAGTGCCTCACTGCTGAAAAACTACTAGAAGGAAAAAGAAGAGTAGGAAAGGAATGGGAATTGTAATCAAAGGCAGAAAGAACTGAGTAGAAGCAGACAAAATAACTACAACCCTATTATTATTGAGCAGAGTAGGAAAGATTAATGTATGTATAACTCAAATGATTTATTAAAACACCAGTGATTTTGCTACTATTGATCTCATACTTTCAGAAACTTACCATGTTAACTTCTGAAATGCTGTCAATGCTTTCAACCTGGACATCTATACCTACTGGCACTGGGGACCCTACAGAAAAAACAATGGGTAAAATGTTGAGAAATGCATGCCAATCATTTTGGAAACTGTCAAAACAGAGAGTGTGCATTGTTTATATGTTGCAAATGAACAACATTATTTTTTGAGTTTCTTGAAACAAAAATTTTTCCCATTTTCTATTGAATGAATGACTATACATTCGATAATAACAATAAAAGCATACGAGTAAACAAATGTTATTCCAATAATCCTTTGTCATTTGCTTGGGAACCTCTCAATATTTCTCTTTTGTAGTATAGAAGTGATGTCCCCAGTCTTATTTTTCATTTTATTTATTTATTTATTTATTTATTTATTTTAGCTAGTAGTGGAAAGGTTGATGTTTTGAAAACATATGAAAAATTACGAATTTTATAAGGTCATGGTCATATCTTACAACCAGGGAGTATCATAGAGTAACTGACTCTGGGCAGTGTTGAAGTGTTTTCTCTCCTTCTGAAAAACTCAGCCTCCTTTACTTGTACAGTGGTTGGCAAACTAGAAGCACACAGATGGCAGTGCCAAGCTATGCATAGACACTGTGGATTCAGACACATCGATCCCTTCACAGATCATCAGCAACAGAAGGCTGCACCTGGGGAGAAGAAGACATCCTCGCAATGCATTTGAAGAGACTATACCAAAAGTCAGAACTGCAGCAATTATGTACAGGGAACTGCTGAGACTTGGTTGCAGTGGGATCACCTAGCGTCAGGTTCATGGGCCCAGAAAGACTGAAGGATAACACAGTCCAGACTGGGTGATACTCTGGCATTAATTAACTTTCTGTGTGAGGGAACATTGATGCTAATAGCTTTATCATTTAGGTTTAAGTATGAAATTTGATGCATATATATGTTAACACAACTTTTATACTTAAACATATAATCTTCATATACTTTGTTTTCGTAATGACCTACTGTCAACCTTATTGCCTATATAGTCTTGAGTTAAAAAAACACTTTAAATAATTGATGAAAAATACAAATCCTGCATAGAGAAATCTCAGCTAGCTGTTTTAGTCAATGTTCTGGGATTTGGAGAAATCAGGCAGAGGGGTTAGAGGGGAATGGAGAGGGCATGGGATTATAAATGATGGCCAAATGTGATGATCATTATTATCCAAAGTACATGTATGAAGACACAAATTGGTGTGAATATACTTTGTATACAACCATAGATATGAAAAATTGTGCTCTATATGTGTAATAAGAATTGTAATGCATTTTTCCTCTCATATATAAATAATAAAAAAAATAGAAATGAGGCCTAAGAAACTTTCTTACTAGGCTAAATAATACTTGGAAGTGCTACATGTGATGAATGAATGCATAAATTCAATGGCCTTTTAAATACATACCACTGTGTAAAACAAGCTGTCTTGCTAGTATATGTCACTCTTCTGTGACTCCCCTAGTAATTGACTCATGTTACCTTCACTATATGGACACTATATTTGCTTTTTTGTTTTATATATCCATAAAACCACTATCATTCCTCACTTAGAAGGGTTTCAGCATGCCAGCCACTTCTCTGCCACTGAAATCTCTTCTTGCCTCTACCTTCAGGAATACCTTACTTGCATCTTAACCTCCAATTTCTTCCTGCTAGATTGAATCAATCATTTCTTATAATACGAGTGGTAACTCTAAATAATGTTGTTTACTTGTCAGTTCGGATTGAGTATTAACTTGGAAACAGCTGAATATTATTCCTTTATAGGATTCAAATTTGGTGGCTTTTTAAAAACTTTTTAATCAAATTAGTAGAATATCAGAATAAAAATTCATAAAAATACCTCGTCTCTGGCTCTGCTTGGTATTTCATAGTAAGTAAACCTTCCCACTAATTCTAATACTCCAAGGGAATGAAATAGTTGGAAAGGTCTTAGAAAGCAGCAGCATGTCCTAGATAAAGATCCAGCACTGAAGCCACATAGACTTGAATTTGAACCCAGCTCCACTATTGTTATGTGATGTATAGCAAGTGACATCTCTAAGCTTGGTTTCCTCACCTATAAAACCTGAGGAGTAATGATCACTGTAGAATCTCATCTGAGGCCTCTCTCTGTGCTTCTCGACCCTACCATGAGCTGAGCAGCTTTCCTTTACTGAGCCCCTCCCCCAGTATGAGTTGCCAAACCTCTGGCCCAGAGTAACGGAGTTGGCCCTCTATGACCTGAGACCTCTGAAATCATGAGCTCCAAATAATCTTTTCATCCTCTAAGTTTTTCTTGTCAGATGCTTTGGTCACAGCCACAAGAAAGATGATGAAAGCACTGCTGATGACTATTTATGCAAACGGTGAACAATGTTTGAGCTGCCTTCAAGGACACAGACAAGCCTGTGTGGGTGAAGCATTGGGTCCTTGCGTTGCTGGAAAGCTGGTTTGACAGTGGAGCTAAGGCATGACTTGTCCATTAGAGATGAGTTCCTAAATAGTTTATTCTTTCCTCCCTCCAGATTTACACTGTTCTCCTGGGGAAGAATTCTGAGGCAGATGCATGTCCTCAGAACTACCTGCCCTCATTTCTATCTCCCATGAGCTCCATGTCCAGTGACAACTCACTTCTTGGTCTAAGATCTATGCTCTGGCTCCCTGAAGACCAAATGGAGGGTCGGGGGATGTGAAGGCCAGAGGCAGAAACACAGAACTTTGGATCCACATAAAATTCCCAAGATCCTTCCTTTTACAAGTATGCAGCTGAGTGAAGAGAGAAAGTGGCAGTAAAACATGTATTAAAATGAGGTTTGTAGCCAAATAAGCCTAAGCTAAACAAAACTTCTGTGAATCCCTTAATACCGCAGATATGAGTTTTACTAATCTGTAAAATAGGGAAAAATATATACCTTATATGCCTGTTGTTGTGAGACTCCATGAAGAAATGCATGTCAATTCCTTAGCATCCCCATCCAAATGGCTTAAACAACTTTCACTCTTAGATCAGTGATAAATGTAAAAGCATTAATAATGATAATTTTATAAGCAGTTTTATTAAGCCTATATGTAAAATATAAAAAAAATGAAAAAATATCAAGTTTTCTGATTCTGACGTTGCTTGCCTAGGATCACTAACTAGGTACACACACATTTATAAACCTTTTTATATACATAAAGCTATAAAATCAATCTGTTTCTTTTTATGCAGGCTGGAATAACGCAGGTTAAATACATCTCATTTGCATGGTTCATTTAAAATACATTATGTCACGTATTATCTCATGTTATTATAGCAACATTTTTAGCTCCACTTGGCATATGAGGGACCTTATACTAAGAGGCCACCTACAACCCTGCCTGAAACCAAAGCTGGTTAATGACAGGGATAATACCAAGTCCTTCTGACTCTCAGTCCTCTTATGTGACAGGCAGAGACCGCACAGGCAGCTTTTAATGTTTGCTTTTGTTTCAACTCAGTAGCCAATATCTAGAGACTGCATTGATTTCACTTTGAGGAAACAAAGAAATCGTCATCTAGAAGACTAAAACAGAAACCCTTAGTTATGGGAGATGTAATGGGTAGGGAAAACATAAATAAAGAAAATGAGCTGCAATTTATAACCCAAGTTAAACAAAAAGCTCCCCTAAATTTATATCCTCCTGTTTCCACATAATGAGTCAATTAATCTTCTAATGCTTTATAAAAGTAAAAAAAAAAAAAAACACTGCAGCAGCAGCTGGTTTTGATGTTAAAGCTAATTAGGAAAACACATTAAGGCAAGGGAAGTGCTGAAGTTACATTTAGATCAAGAGGGAAGAAGTATGTTCATGTGTTGGTGTTCTGGACAAGTATAAAGAGAGAGAAGAGAAATTAAAGATCATCTTTTATATCCTGCAGTCTGATTTCCCCATGGAAGGCAATCATATGGGAACATGGAAATGGGTCACTGGTATAAGGAGCTGTTAAGAGGAACAGAGGCAAGAGAAAGTTAAGAACTATATTTCACAGAGCTTCTAGACTGACACTTCTGACCAAAATTATGAATTTTTTTATGCCTGAACTGACTGAATACATAAGCCATTTGAGCATCATTTAGCCCCAGTCTATGATTGTCAGAAAAATTTCTTAATTGTCAGATGATTTGCCACCTGTCCCTAAGTAGCAGATTTCAATTGCATTTTTAATAACCTTGCAAAGTAGCCTTAGGAAAAGAATATTTCAAAAATACATTATCACTTAAAAATATCTTAACAGATCAAACAAAGGGGAACTTTAGGGTTAATTTTATGTTGTTCTGTGGGCTGGGGATGATACAGGTGATGGAGAGTAAAGGCATATGTTTTGAGATAATAGTGGTGGTTAGGCATTTAATAATCTCTAGCAGCAGGTCTCAAACTATCAAGCATAGGTGAATCACCAGGGGATCCTGTTACAATGCAAGTTTTGATTCAGGAGTCCTGAATTGGGGCCTGAGCTTCTGCACTTAGGAGAACTCGCGAGTGATTCTGCAGCTGATCCTTGTACCAGTTTGAGAGAGGGGTCTGCGGGCTGCTTATTTCAAGGTTCACATTCAAGGACAGTGATTCTGTCACCGACTCTGACTTTCAGCGGCCTAAAGTAATCCCTTCAGAAACTCTTTCCTCTAGAATAGAAAGTAAGTTGACTGAGGAACTTAACCTGTTAGGAATTAGGGCAGCTTTTGGAATTGGCGTTTCCACCGTGTCGAGCTTCCAGCTGTAGCGCCTGAGACAGTTGCAACCATTCCCGTGCCACTGGCGCCCTCTAGTGGCTAATGAGACCAGTAGCCGGCAAGTTTAACTGGGTTTCTGGCCTCTAAGAGGTGATGATAGAAGAAATATTTCACAAAGTTTTCGTAAAATCATACAGACCAAGGAAGAGAACACCTGAATGGTGGTTATAGGGCATAGTATACAAACTTTGGGAAAATTTGATGGGGTGAGAAACAGTCCATTGAGAACAGTGGAAAATTCAAATATCTTTGGAATTTGGGAAAGATAATATATTTAAGAAATAGTGAAGGAGAGAAAGAGAGGCAGAGGGAGATGGATAAGGGAAGGAAGGAGGAAGGGAGGGGGAAGAGATATAGATACAGATATAGATAGAGATAGAGATAGAGAGATAGAGATACTAGGAGGAAAGAAAATGAACACAGTTCTAAGTTTGTGAATTTCAAGTCCTATACAATCTTAAATTAGGATTTAATAAGTGTCAGAAACGAACAGAAAACAAAACACAAAAAAATTAAACTCACTAACATTTAATGTGATGCTGATAATCTAACACAGTGGTTCTCAAAATGTGATTCACATACCAGCAGAATCAGCCTCATCAAGCAACTTTTTAGAAATGCAAATTGTTGGAGTCACCCAGTTCCAGTGCTTCAGAAGTGCTGTGGGTGGGGCATGGTAAGGACCCTTCATGTGATTCTGATGTTCAGGAAAGTTTGAGTCTCCAATGTAAGGAGTTAAGATCAAGTCCTTAGTGTTGCAACCCAATGGATTCCAGAATTTTTTTTTAAAAAAATCAAAACATGACAAAATAGCCCTCAACATACAACTAATTTTAAAAAATTCCTGTTAACAAATTATGTATCAAGGGCATTTACAGACCTGTTGGCCATAAACACAATATGACAGGAGGATGAAATGTCCTCCACCCCACTTGAATGGTGAGTTGTTAGTTATTCATCAAAAGTTATTCTGTTTTACAGCCAAAGGACCTTGCTTCTCCCCCCTCATCTACACTGCTCTAGCTGCAGATTTCCAGGAGTCTGGAAAGTTGTCAGTTCAGGAATTTTTGGAGTGGAGTCTTTGGGTCAATGAAAAGGGAATCAGTTGGGTTCCGAGAGTTCATTTTAACTGGTTGATTTCACCACACCCTGCATATTACTGGAAAACTTGGTGCCCTCAGTGATGTGGAAGAATCTGAAGGGAATACACTTTGATCCAAGCACACACCTCTCCCAGGGCCTCCTCCCATTCCTCTGACTTGTCACTGCATCTTTTCTACCACTTACTACTTCCATGATCTTAAGCAAATCTCCCAAACTCTCCAAGCCACAGTTTCCACACTGGATTATTAAGAGTTATGATAGTGCCTATTCCATAGGCTCACTGTGACAGTGAAGTAACAGTGCATTTCAGGGCTTAACATACTACCTATTTTTTTTTCCGGTTATCAATTTTAATCATTAAAAGTGACAAACAGCAACAATAGTTCAGCAAAATTGGTTCATAGGGAGCCATGGCATTTGATATACTGTAGTTCTTCCATGAAAGTCAGGCATTCTAGCTCATAAGAATATTGAACAAGATTTCATAATTAACATCATGTTATTGAATTTATACATCGTGAATAAAGAAGTAAGCTGGTATTGAGGCAAGACATATTTATTCACTGTTTATTAAGCACATTTTATCTACAATGGTGTGCACAGTAGAAAGCACTTATGGGGATTGAGTTACCCCATTAGGTCCTGCTTTTGGCCCACCTAGAAAACTGAAATTGAGCCAGGCATGGTGGCATGTGACTGTAATCTCAGCCACTTGGGAGACTGAGACAGGGGGATTGCAAGTTCAAGGCCAGCCTCATCATCTCAGCAAGGCCTTAAGCAACTTAGTGAGAGCCTGTCTCAAAATAAAAATAAATAAATAAAGAAAAAGGGCTAGGTGTATAGCTCAGTGGCAAAGCTCCTGGTTTCAATCCCCAGTACCCTTCTCCCCCCACCCCCCAAACTGAAACCGAACAACAAATATACCATTTATGGTAACTTTGAAATATTTTTTATAATCCTATTATTTTGAGAAAAGTAATAAATGTATGATTAGTAATTCTCATTATTACCATCATTAATGTTATTAATGATAATAAATTACACAGTGAGTTCTAGACTATGATTTCCAAACCATTTTAATGACCTGTGTCGATTTCATTCAAGTGAAAATGGATAAGTTTCTAATTGTTCTCCTTCAAAAAAAGTCATTGTAAGTTTTTTTTAACTGGTGGTCTTATGTTTGACCTTAATTGCTTCTAATTTTTAACTCCATTTTAGCAGTACAATGAGTTTTAACATGAGTTTTATAAAGATAATACTCACCTCCAAATCCAGGTCTTATTGCAAAATCATGGTCCTCTATGTGGAGGAGTTGCTTATATTTCAGGGGCCTCACTTTGGTACTGTCATCCTTCCTCATTCTAGCTTCTTGTTTGCTGTCCCGCCCCAAAAGAAAAATAATACTTTTGAGATATATACGCTTTTGAATTTGGTGGGGGTATTAGAGCTTGAACTCAGGGGTACTTTACTGTTGAGCTACATCCCCTAGTCCTTTTTATTTTTTCTCTTGAGACAGGGTCTTGCTAAGTTGCAGAGGTTCTCACTAAGTTGCTGAGGCTGGCCTGGAACTTGAGATGCTCCTGCCTCTACCTCCCAAATCACTGGGATCATAATGGTGTACCACTGTGTCTGGCTAACTTCTGGATATTTTTGTTTATGTTATCCATCTGTGCTCAACATAACCTGTTCTGAAATGATTACATAAAATCTCATTTCCTGAGTTCATATTATGCAAATGCCAATATTTACTCTTTATTATGTAAGGACAGAGTAGGTATGATAAACCAAATTTTGGAGCACTCGAAATGACACAGTGAGTATAGATTTCATGTCCAAATAGGCAACATTTCTCACAATGTGGTTGATAGTCTTGGGATATCTCAATTACTTGGGTGAAGGTGGTCAAAATTCACATTCACATATTCATGGACCCCCATCCCAGAACAACTAAATCGGCTTTCATGGAAACAACCAAGTCACTACATAATTTTTGGGGATTACTGAAGTTGAACAGTCTCTGTATTAAAACAGTGAAAAAAAAAATAAAAGCATTGCAAAATTGTAAACTGATGAGAAAAATGTTTTACAAAGACAAAATAAAAAGAAAATTTGGGAGCAGGCTGAAATCCTGGCAGAATGACTTGCAGAGGTTCTAGGACACAGGGATGGCAATGCTTGGACCCACGCAAGCCAAACTGTGAAGGATGCAAAGTGTATTTTTAACCATAGTTCTCTAGGGCAAAGGCAAGGTGACGATGGCCTCTCTGAAAGTGTCCTGATGTGGGAACAAAGTCCTGGCTCCCTGGGTCTGTGAACTTGGGCACACTGCTGGATTCTCAAACTCACTTTTGCCCTGAGATACCTGCTTCCCAGCGACACTGTGAGTGTGGAGGCAGTGTCTGGGAGAGCCCAGCTCCTCTGTGAGCTGCAGTCTTCTTGTGCAGGAGACTCTCTTCAGACTCCCCTCCTAGAAAAATATCATGGTGGTCTGCAGCCACAGTAAGGCAAGACTCTCATGGGACTTCTGGGTGAATCTAGTGACTCTGAATTCCCAATATCCATCTGGATAAACAAATATCTTCTTTAAGCAATTGAGGTCAATTTTAACTCTAGACTGCTGGAGGCAATTTATTTATTTATTTATTTATTTGGGTACTGGGGATTTAAAAATTTTTTTTTGTGCCTGTAATTGAAACCAGGGTGTTCAACACTGAGCTATACCCCCAGCCCTTTTTATTTACAGACAAGGTCTTGCTAAGTTGTTGAGGCTGGCCTCAAACTTGGAATCCTCCTGCCTCAGCCTCCTGAAAGGCTGGAATTCCAGGCCTGCACCACCATGCCCAGCTGGAGACAATTTTCTAACTCAGTAAAATTACTTTGGTGGGGGAGAATTTCAGTTTGTGAGCAGCTGAAGAGATGTGTCTGGGCATGTGTTCTCCTGAGATCATCCAGTGTGGTCTTTCAATGGGGCAATTTCTGGAAATCTCTGAGGTCTACAGACATACTTTTCCTAATGATAGGAATAAAGAAACTCGGAGGAAAAAAATCTGATGTTGGTAGAAGGCATTAAGTTTGACTCTAAATATGTCAAGACATTTTATCTTATGAATAATGGAACACATAGAACTATTTCTTTCAAGAAGCTAAACTAGAAAAAATCTTCTAGGGAGCTAAAATGAACTATTTATTTAAAAAGTAATAGCAGCTGGGTTTTATTAAATGCCTACTATGTTCAAGGCGTCATGGCAGATGTTTTGTAAATATTATCTTCTTTGGCATGCATCCAAAACATCTGGTTTCCTGGGCCTGGTGCCCACAGTTTCTGATTCAATAGCTTTTGAATATGACAATTTGCATTATAACAATTTCTCAGGAGAGCCACTGCCCTAGAAAATAGTGGACATTTAATAAAAGATACTTATTTGCTATTATTTTAAGAAAAATGAAAATGTAACTTTGTCAACTTAAGAAAATTACTCCTTTGCTAATAATATTTTAGTAATACTATTAAATGACATGTCACTAATGTACCTTTTATAAAACTTATCTCTCCATGAGATTGAAAAGGATAAATTTTAATTAAGAATTCCAAGAACACTGAACACAGAGACTGTTGTGAAATGCTCTCTTGGCAACACTTGAAAACACAGGCATCTGTTTTTGACCTAAGGGCTCTTCTGATACATATGTTCCATATGTATCTATTTTTACCATTTTTTAAATCTCATCTATTTCCCAAAAAGGAATTTGGTGCTTGTATACCTACCCTCTAAAGGAATTTTGGAGATTACCTGCTTCTCCACATATACTTAAATAGAACTCTTCAGTTTTTCCGTCATGAGTTTTAAAATTACTTAAATATTTATGAATTAGAGAAAACTTATATTCATCATTTAAATGTAGCCAATGAATTTGAACTACTTAAAAATATATAAGCAAACTCTTATTTAAAATATTAGAAATTTTATAGTGTTTCTATAATTAGTGATTACTCTTTCTTTTCTTCAAACTTGTCTTTCCATCTTATTTCCCCCGTAGAAATTTATGTATGTATGTATGTATGTATGTATGTAAATACCAGAGATTGAACACAGGGGGCTTTATGAAACCCAGGGCACTTTATCACTGAGTCACACCCTCAGCCCCAAGTCCTCCTTTTTGAGACAGGGTCTCACTAAGTTGCTTAGAGCCTCCCTAAGTTTATGAGGATGGCTTTGAACTTGAGATCCTTCTGCCTCTGCCTTCTGATCTGCTGGGATTACAGATATGTGTCATTGTACCCGGCTTCTCCACAGAATTTTAACCACCCCATAATATGTCTTCTCAAGAAAACTGTGTGTAGATTGAAATTAGCTTTTTGTTTTATTTTGTTTTCTATAACCATCAAAAACGAAGCAAAGCATGACTGAGGTAAATATCGATTCTCATTAAAATTAAGAATGAAATTTTAGTGGAAACACATTTGTTTATGAAATGATGGTATATTTTTCCTAATTATTTTATGTATAAGTAAATAGATGTTACTTATTGCTAGAATGAAACTGGGTTTATCAAGAATTTTGTTTCTATTTTTTATTTTTAATAGATGAAATGTTGAAAACATTTGTTCATATATATGTAAGTATATGAAATTTAATATTTTAAATGTTGTCTTAGCAATGTAACAATTATTTAAATTTCTTCTGACATGTTTTTCAAATTCACATTGTATTAAATATCAACAGTCATTTTTAATGGGTTTTAACTAACAAATTAATTAGGTTCTTTTCTCTCTAGTTTTGTTGAAAGCAAAAAAATAGTAAATCATCTAGTTTGGAAAAGAATGCATCATATAGTCATCCCTTTACATTTTGGGTGGGGAGAATGTCTCTTTAACCCAGGAAGTTATTACACACTGGTGCAATGTACAGAGTAGGATCTAGGAAGAGAGAGAGGTACACTTTAACTTTTTCAAGTTGGACAGAGTAATCACTGAAGACAGCTGAGTTTTCAGGTGGAGTTTTAGCAAAAAGGTCAAAAGAAAGTTAAACTGTTTAAAAACTATGCATGTCCACCTGTCTCTCAGGTAGCCTGCATGTTCCCGTAGAGATAAACCTCAGGAATATAGATGCCTGGTTTAAAGGCCTCTGGCTTATCAAAATACATTAAAAAGTTAATGAAATAAAGAAAGAAACAAAACAAAAAAGAAGCAAATACGTTTACTGAACAGCAAATATTTATTTCTGTAACTTATATATGCAGAGCATAAGGTTCAGCCCAGAACTTTCTAGTCTTATTCCAGGTATGCAATATTTTAAACCATTCTGTGTACCTTCTGGCCTCTTCCCCATTCTAGAAGAAATGACTTCAGTTTTCATAGTTACTGAGAGAAAGCTATTGAATAACTTCTGTCTGAGAAAAGGCTCTTCCAGAAGTCCTGATGGGATCAAACAAAGAAATCTCAATTGATGGAAGATGGGTACACCAGCATTCTTAGTCTTTGCCTTAGCCCACAAAGTGCTGTGAACATTGTTAGAGAGACAGAGGTGTACATCTTGGTAATAGTTGAGGTTTTCCTCTGACTTAGAACTTAGTCTTAAGTCTCAGGGGAACTAAGAAGGTCTTTGAAGAAGACATACTAGGGAAAGATTTTTAAAGTACTGGAATTGGTTGACAGAAAGCAAAAACACCTAACTCATTCTTATGCTTTAGACTTTCATTAATAAAAGGAAAAAAAGTCTCATATTAATTGAGTCACACTTTGTTGGATGCTTTACAGAACTGTTTTCCCAAGAGTTTGGAGACCTGTATATTTGATTATTCCACTAGAATCAGAACTTAAAAACAACTAGGCCTCACATGAATAGACTATTTACCCAAGGGAGGTTGTAATTAACAAGTATATTTAAAAGTTTAATTGAAAGGGTTAACAGTGAGACACCAATTAAAACTACAACTACTATTTTATACTTACTAATGCACAGAAGACAAAAAATAATGTTAGTGCCCTATACTGATAAGGATATGATGAAATGGGAGTATTTAAACCTTGAAGGTGGGAGAATAATTATTGTAAAACTCTTTTAGAATTTAATCTCAGGAGCCATAAAGATATTTTATATGCTTTGACTCAGTAATTCAATTCTAGAAAAATTATAATTTTTATTAGTAGAGGAAATAAAAACATGAGTGCAAATATTTATTGCTGTTACTTATAGCAGTGCAAAGCTGAAAATAAATGTTCAATACTGAAGGAGTTAATTCTCATTCTTTAATTCCAATTAGTAATATGAAGTGTTGAAAAATATTAGAGTATCTATGAAGCAATGAGGAAAATGCTTAATTTAAGAAAATATAAAATACTTTCTATGCTGTAACTTAAACCAGGTATATGAATTAGGATTGAAAGTCAATTTAGAAAAGAGAAGCATAATGGAGATTATTTTGGTACTTTTCTTTAGAAAAATACAAAATATTACAAAAAAGTTTATTAGAGCGATAGATGCAAATCCAAGGAATAAAGTAAAAGTAGTGGGAAAATCAGTTGGTTCAATGTTTGATTAAGAAAATCTTCATAATTATGGATCCAATGTTTATTTCCAGGCCCCTGATGCTTGTGAGGTGCCTTAGAGAGGACATGGCACATTAAATAGAGTGACTCTTGTGTCCTTATGTAAGGGCTCCTGATCACCTGAACTCTGAGAATGCATACTTGACTTTATTCAATAGTCCATTTTTTAAAAAGGAAAAACCTATGCAGATGAACGTTTCTGTGAAAGAGCCAACCAGGAAAAATGCTCCAGTTGAAACACAGCAGTTCCTATATCTCCCTTAGGTCTCTGTCAGCTCACAAGTTCAGTGGCGAGGCCTCAGTTTCCTTATTTGCAAAATGAGAAAATTGGACCAGATTAAGAGCTAGTCTGCAGACATATTTTGGATATCTCCCATGATGTATTAAATTGGAAAATCTCATATGAAAACCGGGACTCCTGTTTCCTTTGAAAAATCAAGAATATCTGGTAACACTGTGCTCAAATTCTCTTATAAGAGGAGCCTGAACCTGATGAGACACACCTCAGAAGAGCATATATCCTGCAATTGGAGTTTCTGCTTCTCTCTTCAGTCTTACTTGCTTGCAGTTGCACTTGAATTTGCAATCTCTAGGTCCTTACTGAGTTTTACAGTGGGTTTAGGGAGATGTTGATAGTTGTTTAACAAGTGGCTCTCCAGGTTTAAAAAAGCCTTGATTTGTAGTGTTTATTTACAACAAGTGAATTTTTTTTTTTAATTTCCAGAAGTAGAATACTTCCACAAGTTACTAAACTTCAAGACAGAGATTGCCCCTATTATAGTACATAACAATATGGTATGGAATACTATGGACTAGCATATTACAGACTAATCCAGTATGGCATAAGATGATATGGCATGGTATATTGAAGTAATTCTACCATAGAGATATATTAAGCCTAAATAATCTCAAGACCTTAGACGATAGCCAAATTTAGTAAAGTGATTAGGAAGTGGTGAGTTAAATATTTGCCTTTGAATTAAAAATAACTTATTTAATTATAAATTTGTACAACTTAATTTTTAATAATTTTTTAACAGTATACAAATTTTATGAAAACTTATCAAGCTTGGTGGCACAGATTCTAGTGCTCTGCTGATTATTCTTAAGGCCAGGGTCAGTGTGTCATTTCCATGGTATCCTCAACCCCCAACGCAGCACTTTCATGTGAAGGTCACTCAATAAGATTGTTGAAAGAAAGACTAGGTATTCAATGAGTCTATATATCTCCTCCTTTTTGCATTACTAGGGAGCCAGATTTTCTCCTCAGGCAAAAGAGAGACATTTTCGTTTGCCAAAACTTTCTTTGTTCACGTTCTTCCCTGCTTTGTTTTTAAGAAATAAAGGACATTTTTGAAGCAAAGATTTTAAAAGAAATCTTTAGATTAAGAAAAGTGAATGTTCATATAACAAATAAAGTCATATTCCCAATGAAAAAAGTTAATAACAAAGCACTTAAGGGCTAGATTGCATGAAAGTAGGTTCAAGATGATGTGTATAAATTCAAAGTGAGGAATAAAAATGCACTACATAATTTTCAAAGGAAGACCATGACTTCCTTTCATGTTCACTCTGTTAGTTCTTTTGCATTATGAAGGGGTAGATTATTAATTCATTCATTTCTTATTTGTTGGTGATCAGGTTGGATGTTGGGGAAAAACCCTCACATAATAAATCTTGGGCTCTTTTCTCTAGAAACTACCCTGTATAGTAATTTATGTATTTTTTGTCAAATGCTTTAGAATCTGCACAAGAGATCCTGAGTGACAGCTCAGAAATTGGCTGGCTGTATTATTCACTCAGGGAAAGTGCCTGGTTTCATTCTAAGTGGCTACTTCTGGTTTACTCGGTCCCCAGTGCCCTACAGGATTTTTCTTTGAAGAACAAAAGAAGCAGATATAAATTTTAATGAATTGTATTCTAGTTTGTGGCTCACAGGGGCATTTCATTCAGGATATAAAGAAGCGAAAACAAACATGTTAGACCTCTTGTAGCAGAAACCCGGAGGGGGGTGGTTCCTCTGGAGGAAATCTGGCTTGCATAGACTGTAAAATTTTCTCTTCCTTTTAATGGGATCTAAAACGAGGCACTTAACAGAAGAGAAAAATTTCCACCCTGCCACAGAGAATTTATGTTCCCTTACTGTCCTTAAAAGACACCTAAAAAGGACAGTGGGCAGATTTTTCTGCAGAGACACTGCTTTCAATACTGTCCTTAGTTTCTGCCATTGACAGTGGGCCACGACAGTGGATTAGCTTCTATAACAATCTTTCTTCTCATCTAAACATTTACTCTGCAGATTGGAAAAAATCCCCCACAGTTTAAATGGTACATGATATTTAAGCAGTCTTCATTTATTTTAAAATTAGATAAAATATACTACATGAATTTTATAAGTAATCTGGAAAAAAAAACCCACATAGTTTGGTGGTAGAATACTATAGTTCCCAAATATTTTCTTTTCTAATTGTCCCAGAGAAGGCTCTGAAGTGGTTAAACTGTACAAGACCTTACCTCATTTCAAATCGGGAGTCTGGGAGAATGGAAGGAAAATGTGGGAGGAAGGCCTTGATTTTTAAGAGCAGAGCAGGAAGTCAGGACTCTAGTCACTCTTCCCTTTCAATGTTGGTCCATTAAAATTTCAGAAGACAAGTGTTACAATCCTATATTCTCGTTCTTAATCTTCTGGTGAATATTTTTTATAAATATTCAAGGTGTGAGAGCAATCTGGCTGAAACCTTTGTCACTTCATTGACTGCCAGAATTGACTGGAGGATATTACTCCTCTTCTTCCCTCACTTTCTCCTTTTGGGTATTTTTTCAAAATTTTGTAAAAAAGGGAAGACCTTTCCAAAGACATTCCTTGTTTTTTAAGCATGTATGAGTAATAGAGTGACCAATATTTTCAGGTGCCAATCTGAAGGGATTCTTGGAACTGTAGTGCTAAAATCTGCAAAGTCCCAGCAAGTAGTGAGTGATGGGTTGGTCACCGGAACAGATAAGTACCTTCCTCACCACATATCCAGAAAACTCTTGGGGTTATTTATAGCAAAATAACAATGGTGATGTGTTGATATTTTGGAGGGTATTTTTAATGTGTGGAAACTATTCTCCAAAGACAACACATGGCCTTAATGCCTTTTGATACTATCTCAATATATGATTCTATATGATAGTACTTGACATTAAAAGAAGTTGCCACTTAGACTATTTTCTACTAAAAAAAATCTGAAGAAACATTAAATGTCATTATTAATAATAATTGTATTACTCATGGAAGAAATACGTTTTCTGAAAGAGGATCCCTACATGAACCATTTAATGATATTCTCCAAAAATTGGTTAAAAATAAGCATACAAACTCTAGCAGAGATGCAGGATTTTTCTCTTTCTGATGTCCACCAGGGGGTACTTATTTGGATGAGTGAATGCTATTTTCAGAGATAGACACTGCCTCAAAGATGTATTTCCATTAAAGATATGTTTCTGGATTTCCAATAGGCCTGAAGCAGCTGATAAGAAAAACCAGAAAATACTTGCATGGACTAAACTGTGGAGTCTTACCGGGTGTGTTTCACTGAAGTGGAGCACCGGTGAGAGGTCTTCTTGGTGTGAGAAGTAGCAAAAGCATTTGATATTAATGTGATCCAGATGCAGGTGAAGAAGATCAACTGGGAAGCGAGGACCATCTCTTCCAGAAGAAAGGAATGCAGGTGGATGCAGCTAGTATTGTTATTGAGATTTCTTCTTCATGTGTCTTTAAAAAAATAGATAGCATGCCAAGTTAAAAAAAAAAAAAAGAGCCACTGCCTTCAATACTGTCCTAGTTTCAGTAGATTAGATAGAGTCACATCATTTACAGGCTCATGTCTGCCTAGATCATCTGAAATTTAAAGAAAACAAGGCAGATTTTTCATTTTCGGTTTACAACCTTTAGTCCCTCTTTGCAGGGAGGGTTCTTAGTGAGATGCTTTATCCCTTCCCTATTCAATAAACTCTGGGCTGCAGTCCTGGGTAGACAAAGAAGTGAGGTTAGGCATTAATCCTCTTAATCCAATGCAATATCATTTGAATAAATTTAATGACTCTGTAAAGTAATATGCTTAATATGAGAAAAATATGATCATTAATCTTAATTACACATTTCAAGACTGTTTTTTTTAACCCTATGACTCATTTTAATCCAGAAAGGAATCCTTTTCTCCCCCAAAGCATACAGACTGCTGTAGCACAAACAAAATATTAAATTATTACTTTTGTCAGGTAAACAATCATATTTTAAGATGATGGCCTATTCAATATTTGAGAACAAAAGTGGTTCAATTTAGCCAGGCATGGAGGTGAACATCTGTAATCCCAGTGGCTCAGAAGGCTGAGTCAGGAGGATTGGGAGTTCAAATCGAGCCTCAGCAAAAGTGAGGGGCTAAGCAACTCAGTGAGATTCTATCTCTAAATAAAATACAAAATGGGGCTGGGGATGTGGCTCAGTGGTTGAGTAAGTACCCCTGAGTCTGAGTTAATCCCCAGCACCCTACCCCCCGCCAAAGTGGTTCAATTTAAGGTTCAGCATAGTAAGCAACCTAATAAATAAGAAATGACTTAGTCCTGAGCAATGTGCAAAGCACATACTGTTACTATTAATTTATGTACGTATGCATTTCTAAAGATACTTGCCCACATCAAGCAGAAATATTCTCTGGAAATATTCCCTGCATGTAATGCAAAGTACCAGTGAATGCATATGTCAGTAAAATTAAATTTCTCCAACTGGAATACCACAAGGTGAGCAGTGTAACTAATAAGTGACTTGTTCACTAGGATTTAGGAAGAACGTCATTTTCTTCCCAGAATACAGTGTTGTGAAGGAATTTCTCAAATTTTTAAAAAATATTTATTTTTCAGTTGTAGTTGGACACAATACTTTTATTTCACTTATTTATTTTTATGTGGTGCTGAGGATCAAACCCAGGGTCTCACATGTGTGAGGCGAGCACTCTACCTCTGTGGCACAACCCAAGCCTAAATGAAATTTCTTAAAACCCTTTTTGTTCCCACATTGGCATTATCGGGTTTTTAAATGTTAATCAACCCAATGGTTGTTGTAGTTTTAATTTTAATTTCCTCAATAGCTAGAGAGTTTTGGACAATTTTTCATGTATTTCTCTGTCAGTAAGCATTCTTCTTCTTTGTTGGGTCAATGGAAGGACAATAAGAACAGTTGCTGGTCTTAACTACTGTCATTTTGGAGGATAGAGAATTACACTGTGGTAACATCTCATTCAGAGTTTGTTTTCAATATCTTCCACTTCAGTATTCTGATGGGATCCAGGGCTCTGGCTCCTTGGCCCCAGTACTTAGATCTGCTGTTTGCCCTGAGTACCCATGATCTGTACCAGCACTTCCCAGAGAAGTTCTTGGCTATCCTGGAGATGTTGTGTGGAAAGTGTTCTGTGCTAAATGAGTTAGTGGAGTGCTATACATTTTATTTCCCTATCAAAGAGGCACAGTTCTCATGTGGTACAGTGAAAGTGCTCTTGTTTTTTAGTAACAAGGAGGATGTAAGTTCACAAACCTATGCTCCATCCCTATCTTGCTCCATCTTTTGGGACCACTGACACACCTAGTCTCTCTCCACATCTTGAAATGCTTTCTTCATCTGACTTCTGGGATTCTCTACTCTTGTTTTCCTCCCTCTCTGATCATTTTCGCTCAGTCTGATTATCAAATTCTCCCTTTTATGTCAGATCTTATAACACTGGAGTGGCCATAAGCTCTTGGGTGCTTGTCTTGTCTAGCAACTCAATCCCTTAGTGATCATCAAGTCTTTAGACTTAAAAGTTTCAGTTAGGAACATTAAGCTTACAAAGTATATTGCACATCACAGCGACCGTAGTTAATTATAGTGTATTGCATATTTCAAAATTGCTAAAAGAGCAGATTTTAAATATTTTCACTACAAAAATGGTTAAGAACATGAGGTGATATATATATATATATATATATATATATATATATATATATATTAGCTTCCTGTAATCATTCTGCAATAGATGCAATTATCAAAACAACACATTGCAGGCCACACATATAATTCTTGGCCAATTAAATATAAAATCCAAATGAAAAAGAATTGTAAAGAAATCACATCTTAGAAAACCCAAACTAAAATCATCTAAATACCAAGTGTTCCCAATTTTATATCATTAGTCTTGGCTCTTATCTCAAAATTCCAACTCTTATCATCCAGATTATCTGTATTATAAATTCTCCTAACAAATTTGAACCTTTGCTCAAATGTCATTTATTTATTTGAAACATTCTGGTCACTCTTTGAAAAAATCAATATACTTCTTTTCTTTCTCAAACATGTGTTACCAGTCTCTCTTAGACCTCACTTAGCATGTTTTATATAATATATATGTATATATATAATATATGCATTTATATTATATTACTATATAACATATATAATAAAATATATGTATACCTATACAGTAAAATATGTTACATATACAATAAAATATATGTATATGTATAAAATGAAATATATTGTTCAGTCTGTCTCGTCTTGCTAGAATGTGAGTTCTATAAGGAAATGATATTTGTCTGTTTTATTCTCTGGGGTATCGCAAGCACTTATAACCATCTTTGGCATAAAGTCAGTGTTTAATAAATATTTATTGAATAATGAATGAATGTTAATATAGTAAAGAGTATAGGAAAAACCCTATTTAATTCTGTGTTTCTCTAACTTACTTTACCTCAAATCCCCCTTGAAAAAAATTCACAATAGTTACTAATATTTTTACAGAAGTGCTCCTTCAGAATACCCATTTGGGGAAATTCTGACTGACAGGTCAATCCGTGCTTAACATATCTTTCTCATCAAAATTCTACAACCTACCATCTTAAAACTATCTTTGATGAAACATTAGTAGTTGATAAAGAATAAGCAAGACATTAAGAAGGAACTCCTAGAAGCAACAGCTTCACCTGAAAGAACGAACCTCTAAAGTAGTAGCTGTCTGCATTACAGAACTCAGTGGAGCAATTGTTTTCAGAAATATTTGAGAGATCATATGCCTCTTCACTTCAATTCTGATAGGATGTCCTGGGTGTCTCCTTATGCACAGTAGAGACAAATCAGTGATGAGGATTTGTCTGACCTTTTTATTGAAAGACATTTTCTGTGCCAACTACTTATATGAATATTAGCATTAAGGAAGAAACAAAAGCAGTTTATGTTTTTGGTGATTAATTTTATGTGGAAAATGATTTGTGTAACAATAAAATAAGGCAATGACTTAAATTAGAAAGAGTTGGCTCATAGATGGTCTTAGGGTTTTAGTTCAATTACAACAAAGCATCTGTCTCTGTTGCTGCTGAGTTGGCTCCTTAACCTTATCCCGTTAGTACTCTCCTTTGCAAGCCCAGTAAGCTTCTTAAGGAAAAAAGCAGAAAACCACATCTGTCAAAATTAGAAAGCGGTAACTACCAGGAAACAAAATGAGTCATAGGATCCCTGGAGAATTTTGCAATAGCTTACACTCTCCCTTGCACAAATTGCCTCCTGTTCACTCTTCTTCCACTCTGGTGATGTCAGGCAGTTTGAATTTTTTTTTTTTTTGGCAAGGAGCCAAAGAGAAAACTTGGAATAGCATGGCTTTATCCCTGATATTCATCTCAGAATATGTAGTTATTATTATACCTAAAAAGGGGAAGTGAAAGAAACAAAACAACTGAAGTTTTATTTAACCTTTCTTAAATATGTCTAATCTAAACAAATCCCAAGCTCCCAGAAGTTTCCCAATGTGGCTTCAGGATGTCACGTAGGCAAAATACATTGAGCTGAAATTGTAGTCATAAAATATTGAAATAGAAGGGACTTTGGAAATCATTTAGACTAACCCTCCCCCCATCCTTCTATCTTTTATCTACCATCCGTGGTATTAGTGGAGAATAGTTTCTAGGACAACTGAGGATGCTAAAATCCAAGGATGCTTACACAGCACACATTATAGGCTGTGTGCCACCATGTCTGGGTGCTTTTGTGTATTTTTTTTTTGCTTCAAAACTACTACTACTACTTCTCCTCCTCATAGCAATTGCATATAATCTGCACCCATAGCCTAACATACTTTAAATCATTCCTAGATTACTTATAAGGCCCAGTACAATGTACATACACTGTAAAGTATACATGTAAATAGTTGTTATACGGTAATGTTTAGGAAATAATGATGAAAAAAATGTCTGTACATGTTCAGTACAGATGCAATTGTTTTCTGAAAATTTTGGATCTAGGGTTGGTTGAATCCATAGAAAGGAAGCTGTGGATATGAAGGGCCAACTGTGTGAATGAACTAAGACTTTAGAGACATTAAGTGATCAGTCCATTTGCTTTGATTTTTAAAAAATTTACTTGCTTTGGTATGTTGGAAATATAATTGAATGTGACAAGTACATACAGTAGGGGGAATTCTCTATTCACCCAAAAGACCGCCTCACACAGCAATCCTGTTTTCTCTTCTGGTTCCTAGCATTCCTGGAGCTCCAGTACAGCATCACTCCATTCTATCATTCTATTTTCATTCCCTTCACACAATTCCTGAGATAGAGAATCCGCTGTGATAGGCATGGGTACATGGAAGAATCTTGCTCCCTTTTAGAGGAAAGTGAGTGCCTGGCACTGAAGCCCAGCAATTTTCTTCATGGTGTAATAGTGAAGTATAACCACTAG